GGCAAATCACTACCTGTATAAATAAAATTGTTATTTTGCAACCTTTGACTGCCGGTATCAAATAGACTATCGGAAACTTAAAAAAAGGCTGGCTAAACTCCCACGGTTAAGCTCTCGGCCCGAACATTCTCTTTGATTGCTTTTTATGAAGTCGCACCGGGAGCAACAACATAAAAAAGTATGATGTCTGCGTGATTGCATAACAACATAAAAAAGCTTCTCCAAATGTGTAAATGTTTGTCTACTTACGGTCAGTGACATAATTTTATTTTTGAAACTACCCTTCAAAAACTAACTTGCAATGCATTGAAGCACAAATATACTCGAAACCGAACCGAGTAATCTCTTGAACTTGATAGTTGTTTTGTCCTTTCAGAGTCTTTGCTAGCCACCAACTTTTATAGTATCTGAAATGGAATTTGAGGCGTTTGAAAAAAAGACATTTTCATCTCACTATTCTCTTATTTACTTTTTGCCTCCACAATTTTAATAATACAATTTTTAAAATAAAAAATAATCATTACTACACAATTTACTGACATATTTCTATTATTATTTTTATATCACATCAACTTTGATCATTAAATTTCATTTTACAATCTATCACATTTTCTGAATTACTCTTTTACCTTCGAAAAGTTTTTTTCTTATTTTTATCTTGTGAAATAAAAAAAATCAACAAAGCATATCTTTCACACGCTAAGCTCAACACTTGTTATTTGTTTCTGATTTCGCAGGCTTTGATACAAGTATAGCAAAATTTTCTTATCCAATGGAGGTCACATGATTGATTACTTGGATAAGTATGTATGAGATCCTGAGGAAGATGCAGCCACACGCTGAGTCCCTAAGGGTGGAAAGTGAGCTGAGCAGGTAAAACAACTCCAGCGAGTATATTTTAGCATAAAATTATTTTCTAGCATTTTGACTAACTTGATGGCATGCTGTCTAATTAACGCATTCGTTCAATTATAGAGGTGTAATCACTTGAGAATCACAAGTAAATAATCTAGAAGTCTCTTCCACACTTTTTCAATTTTTGATCAAGGTGAAGTCACCTTAAGTGGTCATAGAAGATTTCATTAGCTGCCATTAGAAATTGGCATCTATTTTGTTTTTGGTTTCTTTTCGTTCTCTCATAATAATAATAATTCTTCTTTATTTAGTGATGCAAGCATACTAACTATCGTGGATGTGCTAGACCCAATTGAATGCTAATGCATACACTACAATTTAATCTTTCGATTTCATGACATAGATGTCATAATGTTCATTTGATATTGTTTTTTTGAACTTGTTGAATAGGCTTGTAAAAGAGTTAAACAACACATTTTGTGTTTTTTGTAAACAAATGAACAAACTATCGAGGGAAAGTGAATCATCACCACAAGTTTTCTAGATATCACTCCAGTGAAGATCAAAATGAAATGAAAATAATCATAAGTACTTTATCAAAACTTGTAGAGGTAATATTTTTTATAACATACGACAATATCACGGCCGTTGATAAAAGTTGTTTATTTCCAAAGAAATGTCATGAAAAATACAATTAATAATATACTGCAAAATTTATTAGTGAATGCATTGCTATTTTATGTGCTTTAGATTTCCTAATTTCTTTCGATGTATTACTAATCATGTTCTTTAGATTTCAAAATTTTTATGGAATGTAATACTAGATTTTATGTGCTTGGGAGAAGGTTAATTATTTGTGATGGCATAGAGTTGATTTTCAAATCTTTGAATGCATTGCTGTGATTCCGTTTATAGGGAGATTTTATTACCTGCGATTACCTCGTTTGCCGCTTACAATATTGTCAGTTTTCTATTGAAGTCGTACGATACTAATAGCAATAAAGGTTTTGTCGCATTTTTGCTTCATTACATTTTCATACTCTTTATTGGCCCCGTCATACCCGATGCCCTAATTCTCACGTGGCCCTAAAAATCACATTAAAAGCCGGTTCCCTATGCTTACGCCTGTTTATTCTTACCTCCTGCCTGCGCTGCGTTGCCTCATTTTATCTTCAAATTGATTGCTCACTCCTTGTACTGGCGAGTTGAATCGCTTTTTTAAAATATAACAAACAAAGCAAGTTCATTGCTTGTTTCTTATTTATTTCATTCCTTTGACGGTGCGGAAAACACAATAAAAGAAAAAGGGTTGCGGTTGTAATTGAAGTCGGCATTCTTTGAATGTTCTAGTAAGTTTTTTCTCCTTTTGAAGCATCTTTCATTGCACAGGAAATAAGAGAGAGACGATCTGTTGTTTTTTCAGTAATTTTCTTTTTCCTTCCGATCTGTTTGAACCACTATATTTTCTTAACTAAATTGAGGTAAAATGTCTTAAGACATATCGATCTTCTTAAAATTTGTTAGTGAACTCAAATCCAGAGGTAAACTTCTCTTAGATCTGTCCAAAAATTTTATGATCTGTTTTTCAGGAAAAGCGCCGAAGAATATCCATTCTTCAAGGCCTTTCTGATATCATCTAAATTGTGTTCTGAGTTCTGACATGCGTTGAAGGTTGTTTGTGCCTTCTAGTGGATTTGCCACTTTAGTTATTTTATACCATGATATTGCACCTTGTCCTGCTACTTTGTTTGGCTTGGTCTGTTTGAATTCGGAAGGTTTGTTAAAAACTTGTTATGTCCTAAACGAGAGATGCATCAATCAACCGTTATTGAGTTTAGAGGTCAATAACCTGTCTAGAACTGATATTTTGGAAAAAAAAAAAATGTATCTAAATATTTATTTTAAAAGATTGTCATATGTTCTCAACATTTTAGGTTAATAGCTTGGGAAGATGGAATAAATTAGAGACTAGAGTATGTACAATTATTTCTATTTCCTCCCTTGTCTCCCTTGGCTCTGAAGGATATTCCGGTTGATGTAGTTAGAATATTACAATTTCCATTGTTTATGCCCCTTTACCTAGTTAAGTTAAGTGGTTATTCCTTGTTCACTCGGGTTCTTGAATAAGCTATCTTTTGGCTTGTTTGGAGAGCTCATGAACTCCTTATACTCAAATGAGCTTCATTTAGTTGGAAAAACTTGAGTTCATCTTAGATGCACCTACAAGGATCTCATGAGCTCAAGTTTTTCCATACCAATGAGACTTATTTGAATATAAGGAGCTCACAAAAACCTTTTCAAATAAGTTCATACAACTTTTCTGTTATAATATCCTTTTGTCCTAGTAATACCATAGTTCTGAATTGGATTGGTTTAACCTGTTCAACCCTAAACTCATAAACTGGTTGCATACCAATTATGATTTGCCCTAAAAAATCCCAATTTTAGAAATTGACCAAGAATTGACCCAAGACGAATCATGTAGGTCAAATCGTCCTAACCAGTGTAAAAACTGATTATGTCGACCAACTTTTGTTTTAATCTATTGTAACATGATTTGTTATGAATAATAGACATTTTATATATTGGAATTTATAAACTAATGTAGTCATTTTCATTGTTTCTAGTTATATTGATATTTATATTATGATTTTTTAAAAGCAAAAGGAAAATAGTTTTTTTTTTTACAAAAAATTATAATGGTTATTTCAGGATTACTCAAATTGAATTATAAATAATTGTTTAACAATATATAAAATAATAAATATAATACTTTGTCTTAGGTTATATATGTAAAACGAGAATATAATTTATTTTTAATGACTTTTTTCGTTATAACTCCATCCGTTTATTGTATTTAACAACTTACATACTGAAAAAAATATCTCTGCTCTGTAATCAAGTAACGCGTCATTGTGTCAATTGCATATTCAACCAATTAATTTTAATTTTTTAGAAATTATTGTGTTTATATTTTTATAAATATGCATAAAGTAAAAAATAATTGATTAATCTTTAGATATACGATTTATAATCTTAATGTATTGTCATTTGTGATAACAATTACGGCATGAATCATTAAAATATTTTTTTATTTTATTATATTAAGTATTTTTAAAGAAAATAAAGAAATTTCCTTTTGATCAATAGGTGATTGAATTAGGAATAACTTTTTTAAGTTGTCTTTAAAATAATCCAAAAAACATGACACCCAAGTTAACTAATTTATGGGTAAGTTCGATCAGACCACATTTATTGTTAAAACTAAATATAAATTTTAATATTATTAAATACTTTATTACGACAAATGTAATGTAATCCAAACTCCAAATAATAATACTTTTATGACAATATGTTCAATGATGTATCCGTATTTATATATTATTATTTTTTAATATTTATGTGAACAAAATGACATTTTGTTCAATTAATATATAAATATTTTATTATATATAGTTATTTTTTGTTATAAATTTATATAAAAATATTAATTAAATATCTGAACAATTTAAATATTCAATTGTTTAAACTTTTTGATAAATAATTTACTCTTTATTTAAATAAGTATCTTTATTCATATTAAAAATAATTAAATATAACAAGATTTAAAAATAATTAAATATAACAAAATTTATTTAAAAATCCTACCAAGTGTTGAAACGTTTTATTCAAGCTATCCCTGTCTCTGTCCATCCGATCGGACTATCCGGTCCAATCCGGTTTTGAAAACAATGGATAAATAATGGTTAATGTTATTTATCTATTTAATTTATAAAACAATCGTAATATTCACGTACTAGCTTGTATTTGAATAAATTAATTAATTAATTTATTTTCTTGTTATGTTTACCCTTTATCATATGTTATGTATATTTTATTTATAATATTGAAATAATAGAATTAATCATATTTTAATGTATTTAATTTGACATTTGTACTTTGTTTATAAAATAAAATATAATTATCAATATAAAATAAAATTATATCTTTTATCTTAGTTCTAATTCAATAATATCGTAAATAATTTAAAATTTATCCCATATTCGTCTTGTTAAAAANTACGGAATTAACATGATCTAAATGGACAAACATAGAGGTATTATTCAAGGCGAGTACCCCATGTTCGGATTCATGCTCGTTAGATAAAGGAGTTGACTCAACTAGTTTCGTTTAATAAACGAACAAAAGCCTCCCCTCATTCGGCTCGTGTAAAATCGTGGAAACTTGCCTCTTGTCAGTCTGTTTAATAAACTCAAAAGTCTGGATGAGTTATTCGACTATTGGTCACAACAAGTTCGGTTATGTTATTTCATCTAAATTTGTAAATAATTAAAAGAATGAGAAAATGAGTTGTTAATGGGTTCAATTAGCTTTTCAAGCTGGGCTCGTTTAAGTAAACTAGCGAACGAGCTCAAGCGTTCATGAGCTGAACGAGTTGTGTTCACGAACAACTCGGCTGAATAACAACTCTAGACACTTGCATTCCTAGTTATTTTTCTTTACACCCCAATAAATATTTGAAAAGAACAAAATATACTTTTTGACATGCAATACAGGAAATTAAACAATTCAAATGGAAATTAATTTATCTTAATAACAATAATTTGTATCTCAGTAATAAAAATTCTTACACAATTTTTGTAGGTAAGTGAAGTATCATCAAAAGTTATTCTACTCTGTGCATTATATAATAATTCATCTATAAGACTATAATAAAGTTAAATTGGAATTAGAGTGAATGTAAAATCAGTAGCGTATGATATGATAAGTACGTTTTATTTATTTACCTTTTAAATTCTAGGTATCCCTGCTTATGCATGAGTGTATATATAAATGTGCATCCATTAGCTTTCGAGTAAGTAATAATATTGAAATTTGAATTTGAATTTCTCATTTTCCTCTCTCCTCCCTTAAAATGTCACTTCTATTAAAATTCTATATTTGTTAAGATGTATAAATGCTTTCAAAATAAAACTATTCTATGTTATTCCACTCAACTCAAAGGAGTAAAACTAATACCACATTACTACATAAAATTTATATTTAAAGCCAATTTGAAATTATTGTGAACTCCTGCTTTGCACAGTTAATGCACATTTAGATATCATTAATGCACATTTTGATATACTAGTGCATACTTCCAAGGACAAGCATGTTACATTACATTTTTTTCTCTTGTTTAAATATTTTTATTGATCAACCAATTACCAGCTATTTTAATTAACATTTTATTGTCCATTGGTGCCAATGACTTGTCAGTGCTCACTGCGTGCATTTATTAACCCATTCCTGAGATCTAAATATATTGAACAACTATGACTGGTTTACATTCTCATATTAGAAAGCGATTCCCATTTTAATCAACTCCTATATAGATGTATCCCATGAATTATTTTAAAAATAATAAATGAACTGAATATCTACTCGATCTCTAAAAAAATGTTTCTCACAAATTAGGGGTGATCAACATTGTAATATCATTAACTAATGAAAACATTAGTGATAAAGATATCATGTCTAAAAGTTCCATTTTATGTACAAGTTGACCCTAATATCGTTGATAATGATTCAATGATAGTTTCGTGCATTTAATCTATGGTTTGTTGTCTTGTATGCATCTTATGATCTTGTATATTCTTTTTGGCTAAAGTATTTCATTATCCATGTCTTCAGCTGCGCTTAATTCCCAAAACCACAACATGCCAGCACGCGTAGCTCGATGTGCTGGTGCAGCTGGTGGGGCCCAGCCACCTCACGAGGATCCTTCCAAGCTTCCCTTGCAATGCGAGTCAGGTAAAATATCGTTAAATAGTTAAAAATGTATTTCATTCGCTATGGCATCTCGGGATTAAAAACATATACATTATTTGTCTCGAAATTGGGCATGTGCAGCACAGCCAGGTGCTGGCAGAAAACGCAAAGGGCGAGGACCTGCCAGAGGAATTGAGATTCTTCGTCGGCTGGTGCATGGTAAGATTCGTGTTGATTTCGATGAGGAAGGTGGGACTTGGAAAGCCATAGGCGATGATGGGCCACTGTACGACAGTGCTGTTGGGATATTGACCCGCTACTATTGCAAGCCCATTTATGATAGCTGGGCTGAGGTGCCAATTGAGCAGCGTGTGCAGGTCCTGGAGAGGTTGCTGGTAAAAGCTCTCTTGCTCTCTGCCCCCAACTCACTAAATGTTATTGTTTTATTATTATTGGGTAGTTAGTTGTTATTATTATCATTATTGGTTACTTAACTAACTAGAAGAAATAGTTTTTAATCACATAATAAACAAAGAAAAATCTCCTAACATTCACACACTCATTATTTGGGGGCCTTTCACTATTTGGGATAAAGCCTACATCAATTACATATTATTCATTTACTTAATTATGGCTCCTTGCTTACTTTTTATTAATATTTTTGAAGCGGTTCGGGGATGATTGGATTTACTTTCTTTTGAAAAAAATCACTTATTATTATTTTTTTTTTCTTTTGTTTGTGATTGGTAGTTGGATAGTTGAAGTTATGCGACTAGGGTAAACACTGAATTTTATTAAGAAAATGAGTGTTGTTGCTTAGTGATTGAATGTTTTTTTTATTTTAAATAAAATTAAGTCCAAATTATTGTTGCGGGAATAGTGCGTGTGCATGACTAGAGTTAATTTTAGAATTGCTTTTGCGTACGAACTGTTTGTTCTGAGATGATATTCATTTGCGTGTTTACCAATTTTTACAATTTATGTCTTCTTCTTTTTGTGGGTTGTCAGGATTGGTTTGATATTGACTATCGGTATCAGCAAGGGGTATACAATGATATGGTGCAGCGTGATGCAATGAAATGCTATCGAGATTGGAAAAGTGATTTGCATGATCACTTCAAAAAAGTAGGTGGTGTGGCGGATCCAGGTGCCGCCAAAGAAAAAGTACCCAAAAACATTCGAGAGCGTCGACACTGGGAGCTTTGCTGTGAAAGATTTTCATCTGAAAAATTCAAGGTAATTCCATGGCTTATTTTAATAAATTAATATCTATGTGGTATTATGTAATTTGTTTTCAAAAAATAAATTTTCCGTTGGGAAATAATAAAAAAATATTTAGAGCACAGTCATTTTGGTGCGACTTTTGTGCAAATTTTGGAGGAGGGCTGTTGAAAATGAATTAGAATTTTAGTGCTTCAAATAGTCCCACTGTTTGGTGATGGTCTTACTCTTACCTTTAGATTTCTTTTGTTTGGTTACCTAATAAATGTTTGTTTTCAATAATACTACTCAGCGGAAATCAAAAACGAATTCAAAGAATCGCGCAGAGCATTCGTGGGAGAGCAAGCACGGCCGCATATCATACGCTCAACACCGATCGAAGAAGGCAAATTCATCAATAAATATATTACAAGTTTAGCTTAGAAGATTTTTTTATTTTTATTTTTATTTTTATTTTTTTTTATTTTTATACAAACCTTATTTGATAATAATAAGGTGGTACCTCTTTAGGTGGACCCAGAGACACTGGAGCCCATATCTCGTATTGACAATTGGCGAGACATGCATAGGGATGGACGTGCTTGGGTGAATCGCCGAGCACAAGAGACTTACGTAAGTGCAAATTCCATCTAAAATATACAATTTTTGTATCATAACATCCTTAAGAGGAGGATGCTTGGGTCAAAATATTTCAAAAAAATCAAACATTTTAACTCAACCATTTTTTTTAACTCAACTCCACTATCATCAATATTATCAATATAATTAAATAATATCAATCAAATATTCTTACACACCATATCAACTTTAATTCACTATTTATCCACTTCACATAGTTTTAACTAAACAATCACTTCAAATCATCTCTCTCTTACTTTTACATCAAATCAACTTTAATTTTATTTTAAATATTATTTTAATATACTCACTAACAACTAATCATACCACTTTTTTAAAATTAATCAAATCAAACCAAAAAATTTTTATACGCACTCATAAAACCTCGT